GGGGACACGCTGGACAGGTCGTAAGTCCATGCCAGGGTCACATAGAGACAAACAACCATTCACTCTCACTCACACTTTGGGACAATTTAGGGTAGAGCTGTCATTTCTAACTCGAACCTGGAGCCCGGCCCCGCCCGACACAGATTAGGGTCGAGCCATAATAATTTGCTTAATGTGCGGGCCGGGTTGGTGTTGGGCATTTGATTGCATCAGCGGATGAGCGTGGCTGACCATCTAATTATATGGCGACATGGCTTGCCATACATTTCCAGCCGCACGCGGCCATTTCACGGCACCCTTACCGGCTTTGAAAAAGTTCAGTTAAGCTTCAGATGGACTACTGCCAGCGATCCATCAACTGAAATGGACGTTCATTCAGCCACTGCACTCAGCGGAGGAGCGCGGCCGATGACCCAAACAGGTGAGCTCACAAAATATCCGACATGTCAGAGCAAGGTCCGTGTCTGAATCATGCAGAATGCAGGCAGAAGCAGCTTAATGTGCTTTGATGGCCATGAAAGGATAAACACCCCCTCAGCTCCGATGTTCTGCCCCCTTAGCCGTGCATGTCTGCCAACCATTAATAACTATATAAGCAGTCAAAGCTTAATTAAAAAGTTAAAAATGTCAGGGTGGGGTTGGGTTCTGACCTGTAATTACTGTTAATTCGTCAAATCGTGTGGGGTGCGGAGATTATGGCTATGGGGCTGGGACCGGGTCAGGCCAGATTTTTTTTGGGCCCGAATTCAACTCTAATTTAGAGTTACCAATCAGCCTAACATGCATATTTTGGTGTATGGGAGGAAACCAGAGGACCTGGAGAAAACACACATACACTGAGAGAACTCCACCCAAAAAGACCCCGGGCCGGGATTTGACCTGGCGACCTTCTCGCTGAGGCGGCAGCTCTACAAACGGTGCCACCGTGCCGTCCACTTTAATTTTATTAGACAATAAATTTTTTTTTTTTTATATAACAAGAGTTGTTGGTGTTAGCATGACAAATCCAGCATTTTTTTTTTTTTTTACCTAACACCATCCTAAGTTGTAATTATCTACTAATTCTTATTTTGGGTTCTTCTTTTTAACTTAACTTTTAGTCTGTTGGGTCTAACTGATAGTCCAGCCCTGCTGAGTTTAAACTATTCAGGGTTGGTTTGGTTCAATTTGACCCACTGCTGGATTATAAAATGGGCAGTTTTTAGTGTGCATATTTCTCCGTCCACATCGGTTCACTTTGGACCCACCTTGGCAGTCATTCCCATATTTATGAATGAAATGAAGATGGGTGGATGTCGACCAGTGTTTTAATACATGTTTTTCATCAACAGAGTGGATTTTAGATTTGAGGAAACTGATGAATCTATGAATGTTGTGAGATAGCTTGGAGACTCCCTCATACATTCTGATCACCAACTAGTCTCAGCCCAGTGAGAAACAAACACACCGACCATGCAGGTCTGGATTTTGGAAGTTTTTTAAACTAACATTTTCTACAGAAGTCATCATATTAAACAAAGAAACAACAAAAGGGACCTCCAATTTTCAGTTTACTCCCCCTCCATGAATGAGTTCTTTAAAGTGCCTTCTGTTTTAATTTCAGAAATTGGTTAATTAGACTTTCAGCTGCTCATTAAACAAGGAAGCGTGACATTCCTAAACAAATAAATGCATACAAATCTGTCAGTTTGGGAAGCACAGTGTCACTCAAATACAAATGAAACATTTGACTTGTGTTTATTCTTTCAAAGAAAATCATTTGAAACTCTTATGAATGACCTAAAATACTAGATGTGCCAAATATCGGAAGCTAATAACGCTAACATTCTGTGTTTTAATATGGTTTTGGTGCTTACATCAACAGTCAGAAATGAGTTGACTCCTGCTAGAGTTCTTCTTTTTGATTAAACTGATTCAAAGTAAAAAGCAGCCTTAATTAAGCTTTACTATATTTATATCATTGCATTTATACCATAGCTACTCAAACTTATAGTTTTTTAGTTTGATTGTACGTTGATGATCTCCGTATTAACAGGCAGTCCTTGTTTGTTGATAAAACATTGAAAAACTCCCACAAGCGTTTCCCTTTGAGCTCAAACTCAGAAATGTCTCTCAGTTTCGTCTTCTGTTTCAGCCCAGAAATGATAGAACATTCATTCCAAAATTGTCTTGACTCAAAAGTCCGTAAGCTACAATCTCCAAACTAAATAGAGATTAGGCTCTAATAACAAATGGTTGATTAAAATTGTAGAGGAAGGGATGGAATAGTTTGTACAAGAATCAATCAAGAGTATAAATCTGTAAGCATACATGGTTTGTTCCTTTGTGTGAATTTAACAATTATATCAGTAAGTCGTGACACACAGGCAAAGGATGAACCAGTTCTGATCAATGGAATCCTGTCCTTCTGTGAAATTCTTATTTTTTCATCTTTTCTTAAATATATTTTTTGACACAAAAGAGGAAAGACAACATAAACATATTAATGTTGTGTGAATTCTGCTCTGTCAGCTCCCTGCAGCCACATCAGCAGCACCTGAGGACCAACAGCTTGATGAGCAAGAGGAGCATAAAAGGCTGCAGAGGACATCCAGTCAGCGCTGGAGCATTACCTGACAACGATAGTTGTTTTTTAGCATTTTACTTGAGAAGTGTATTTAAAGATGAACCAACTTTACATTCTTTGAGTTTCCAGTTTAATCCCTGATGTCCTCCTGCCCCCTGGATTCTCCTTTGTGGACCTCGAGCTCTACTGTGTCTCCTCAGCTTCCTCCATGCCTTCTTAGCACTTGCCTGCCTCCTGCCTGGAACCATTGTTCAGATGTTGGCCCTGGAAACATTGGGTCGCCTCTCCCCACAACTGACTCTTACTCCTACCATAAGAAAGAGCAGCAGAAACATTATCAACCCTGCTGATAGACCATTAACCCTTCTCCTTACTCTTCAGGGTTCCAGCTCCCTCCCTGGCACATTTGATGATTTATAACTTTGTAAATAAAAACTGTAAATATATTTGGACTCTTGGTATTTGTTCTCTTTGGTCCTTGTATCTGGGTATGGCCGCAATCATTAAAAATGTAATGGGAGATTTTTTTTTTTAAGTTAAATAAATCAAATCTGTGGATTTCCCCACTGATATCATTGGTTAATAGTTTCTTAAAGAAAGCTGCCAACCAAGTGTGTTTGTTAGCTAACGGAAACCATTGAAGTGAAAATTGGTTTAAAAAAATGGTGACGTTCATAGAAAAGCCATTTTGGCTTGAGACCCCTGACAGCTGTAATGTGTTGGTAAATATTTATGCTCAAACTTGTTGAGTAAAGTATGCAGATAAAACATAGGTTAGGTGGAGACAGTAAACTTACAGGCAGAGGTTTTTCCAAAACTGTTTGTTTGAATGCACAGCTCTGTTTGATGCCCCACGGTCCTGCTAAATCCCCAAAAGTGATTCTTGACAACGGTTCTGCTCAATTATTATTTTTTTATTTTTGCATTTGCATTTGTTCTAGAATTGCGCCACTCGGGGTGGCTGCATGTTGAAGTAGCTCTGTTACTTTCATTCTGAGATTTTGCTTTTGGAAACTTTAATTCTTCTTTTTCTGGATGTAAATCACATTTTTGGATGATTGTTTCCTCTGGTGTCAGATGTTGTGCAGCTGGAAGGATTTTCACTGAAGCTTTTTTAGTTTTGAACATTTGTTGATGCATAACCATGACAACAAGATGTTTCTGTTTTACAACCAGAAGCGGCTAATTAACATCTCAAAGCTCACATATCTCAGCTACAGACCCAAATCTCAAATGAGTTGAAAAGGAGGTGCCATGGATGCATTCCCATCTTCCTGCCAGCTGTGCTCGAGTGCCTGACAAGTGAGATCCTGGAGATGGCAGGAAACACAACTTGTGACAGCAGAAGGACCGGGATCATCCCCCGGAACTTGCAGTCGGCTGGCTGTCCACAGTGACGAGGAGCTCAGCAGGGTGCTGGGAGGAGTGACCATCTCTCTGGGAGGAGTTCTGCCCTGCATTAGGGTGACCCTGCAGCCCGGAGGAACAGAGAGGCAAGCTGAGTCTGGGTGGACGGATTGGATGGGATCGGCAGCCAGTTTCTTCAAATCTGCTGTGGGACGGACCTTTACAAGAGATCCTTCCTGCCTACAGTCGTCCGTATCTATAACATCTCAAAATGAAGATAACGAGTTACAACATTTAATTTTCATTTGGGATTAATAGAGTGTTTTTGAATTGAACTGAATTGAATTTAGCAGCAGATTTGCTCTTCTATAAACATCTTTGAGATTCTGTGCTTGTCCGATTACATCATATTTCTTTACCTGAGCAGATACGGCCAACCTAATATCAGTAACGTGACTCAATCCTCTTGTTGTTTTTTGGCAGATTGAGCAGACTGCTTCACTCAGTACTGACTTGCATTTCAGAACATCAATGCATCAATGAAAACTACTGGAGTAAATGTATTCAAACTGCATCATTTCATGCAGTTCAGGAGAGCCTTCCTGTGTCTGCAATCAGGACCTTTATTATAAAAAAAGATGAAGATTGTGGAAGTGCGGCAGCTTCCTGTTTCCTGTGCTGTTTCGCTCGTTGCCCGTGTATCACGGCCCTGATGATGAAAGTACCCATCAAAAAAACCTCAAGTTGTTGCTACTAATCATCATATTCCTCACACTTCCCCTCCCATGTTCCCTCCCAGCCTGTTCAAACTTTTGTTAGACGTCCGTCTTCAGACTCGGCGTCAGCGGTGAGTCATCCTTTCATCCACCTGTCTTCCCACCCCTCGTTTTTCTCCTCCTTTTTGATCTTTTTAAACCACTTTCTTCCAGCTACGCCGCTGCAGACCTCCTCCCACACACTTTGAAGGTACATGATTTATGTTTGTGTGCATGTGTGCTGTGAGAGCTGTTACAAAGCCAATCAACACCCCCCTCCCCCCAATCCATCCCACCCCCTAGCTTCCCCTCCCTCTCCCCACTCATGTAGTCTAGCATGGCGATGCGTTCATTCGTGTGTGTGCATGGTAGCGTGGAGGAGGCACAGCAGAGGGAGGTGCTGCCATCGGCAGAGACTGGGATGGGGGCCCACTCGGATGGGGATGGGGCTGTGAGTGGGGGTAAGCAAGTGGGGCCCTGGGTAGGGTGGATGTGGCCCCAGGATGAAGGGGGTGCGGGTAGGAAGAGGAGGTGGAGGAGGAAGATGCTGGCTGGAGCTGGTAGCTGGCAGCTGATGAAGGCCCAGAAGAGGAGGGTGTCACCTGGGAGCTGCTGCCCCCCTTACAAGGCTGCTGTGGCGGTGGGGTCTGGTTGAGCTGAATGGAAATGTCAGACGAGACATCGGAGGCACTTCGGCCCCTCTGCGGTGGAGCCCAGGAGTCCGGGTGAAGAAACTGGCCGCTGTAGTCGCTGCAGTCGGACATGCGGGGGCGGTAGAGCGCAGGGTGGGGGCGGTAAAGCTCCTCCTCTGCATAACGCTTCATGAAGAGGTAGACTGACATCACACCTGCACCCTGGGGTTGAGACAAAAACAAATATTCAATGGAAATAGTCTCGAGTATGAATCTCTTTCAAAGTACTCATTTGATTACAGTTTGTAGTTAACCCTATTCAAGAGTCATTTCGGTGTGGTAGTAGCTGAGCATCATCCTATCTTTATATTCTGAGCACCAACTAATCACAGAAGATTTCTGTTTAAAAATTTACAATTTACTGTCGAAGTCAACTCTGGTTGTCGGCAAAATATTTCACAAACTGGTGGTGCAGGTGGTAAAGCTGTGGCCTCTCAGCGAGAAAGTTGCTGGATCAAATCTCGGCCGGGGGGCCTTTCTGTGTGGAGTTTGCATGTTCTCTCTGTGCAAGCGTGGGTTTTCTCTGGGTACTCCAGTTTCCTCCCACAGACCAACAACATGCACGTTAGACTGACTGGTAACTCTAAATTGTCCCTAGGTGAGAGAGAAAGTGTGTATGGTCACTTCTCTATGCGTGTCCCTGTGATGGACTGGAGACCGGTCCAGGGTGTCCCCCGTCTCTCACACAGTGACTGCTGGACATGGACACCACCTCAGCGACCCAAAAGTAAGAAGCGGGTAAAATATAATGGATGTATGCTGGATATATTTTAATGAAACTCTCAAAAATATTAAATGGACGTATTTGCTCCACTAAGTAACGTCTGGAATCAACTCAATTCAAGATGGCCGCCATAGCCAACTAACTAAAATAAACACAAAATCATGTATAACTCAACTAATTTCGAGAAGACTGGGCTAATATTTATTGTGGCGGTAGTAGAATCTCGCCTGCAACATCGCCGTCCACCAAAGAAGGAGATTAAAAAAAATGGATGGACGACTCGTAGAAAACACAAATCAACAAAAAGGAGAGAACATATTCCTTTATTTCCATCCATAAATAAGCATCATCTGCAGTGCTAAAAGGAAAAATGGAGCCTGTTCAGCAATTCATTTAAATTACAAAATAATCAACTCTTTTTTTTTTTTACCCAAAATGCAACACACACCGAATAAATAAATCACAATTCTGCAGAGCGTTGACAAAATGCCTCAGAGCTGCTCTGTGGATTGGGCAATTATCAAAAATGTATTCATGTTTCCACTCGGGTATTCACTGAACGTTCTCGGCTCATTCCCTATTCATCCCCAACATCATCAGTGAAACAGCTCGGAAACTTGAATCCTGATGAACGTGTGTGAACGAGTGTGCAGCAGAAAAAACAAAAAAAAAGCTTGTTTCAAAGTGTTTTACAATCCTGCAGAGGATGAGCACAAGGAAGATGAAACAGAAACGTTACAGAGAGGAACATAAGATAAAAGAGTTATAACGACGTGTCGAGCATAAAAATATCAGGATCAGGTTGATTATCTGCTGATTTATGAAATATTTTGCTAAAAAACAATCAAGATGAACTCCAACACTTATTGTCAAGGTTTAAGCAAATATGTTATATAATGTGTTGCACACAAATCAGGTGTTAGGGGCCATGCTCAGCTACTACCACACCAAATGTTAGCTCAATATCTGCAAACAAATTACCGAGTTACCATATTTTCTGACTATAAAGTGCACCGGGTTATAAGGCACATTAAGTGATACAAAACAGTCAAATAATTCAAACTTTATTCAACTCATTTTATTCATTTACCCTTTAAATATCCAGGAAGTCTCATTGAGCCACAATAACTCATTTTCAAGAGAGACCTGTTTAGGGAGTAGATGGGCAGATGGGGGTTAAGGGCCTTGCTCATGGGCCCAGGGTGGGGCGTATGAGGGTGGGGGCAGGTGTGGGTACTTCACCTACCCCACCCACATTTTTGATGTTGTCGGTACCGGGGCTTGAACCAATGATCTTCCGATCACAGGCCCACCTTTTTTAACCTCTGCGCCACCACTCCCCCTAAACTCATTCACAATAACCACATAAAATCGGTTTCAGGTCAGTAAGCACAATCAGAATTAATCCCAAATGGTTAAAAACAAAACAACTGGACTTTATTTGTAACTGAAGACATTTCGCTTCTCCTCCGAGGAGCTTTCTCAATTCAAAGAAACAAGTAGCGTTGCCAGATCTTGCAATAGAAACAAGCAACCAGCCCTATGCAAACAAGTCTAAAACAAGCCCAACTGGCAACCCAGCACATTGTGTAAAACAGTGGCCATTTTTAAACAGTATAAACAAACATTTATTATGGCATTACACATAAACTGCAAAATATGCTAAACACTTTGAATAACATACTTTTAAGCTCTGATAAAAAAAAAATACATTTTGCATACGTAACAAATGTGTAAATCATATTTGTTCTACATATTTTTAAAAAGAAAACATCCTGACATCTGCATGTGAGTGCAGCCCCCTAGTGGTCGACCACAGTATGGGTGTTTGAGTGTGCGCCTGTCGCCTGCCAACTTGGTTTAGAGCTATAAACAGGAAACGGGCGTGGAAGGGACAAACTACTTACGACCACTCATCTTTTGCTTTATTGTGCAGAGCTGGGAAATTAACAACTAGTTTCACTAGGAAAGAAAATCAAGCCCAAATAAGCAACTTCACGTTCAAAAACAAGCCCAAAAATCCGCAACCCACGATTCACAAGATTTATAAACAACTTTAGAAAAAAAACAAGCACAAAGTCACTTATAATAAGCTGACCTGGTAACACTGGAAACAAGGAAAGTAGGTTTCAAGTTGTAAAGCTGAGGTGTTCTGTAAGATTGCATAATGCAGATTGACACATGCAGATTGACCTCTCACTCTTGACAATAGAGGATCGTTAGGGTCTTTGTTAGTCCCACCCACAGAGGGGCCACTCGGGTCACATGGTTGAAATTCCTGATGTGTGTGAAACGGGCTGGGTATCAGTCCTAAAACTGCATTGTAGGTTTTTGTAAGCTGAAATCTGAGGCCTCCTCCTCTGTTTAAAGATGGTTTCTCTCTTTTTACGTAAACAGAATCAGAATTCATACATAAGGCACACCTTATGTATTAAGGGAGATTATAACCGAGATTATAATCACTGTTGATTTATGAGAAAATTAAAAGATTTTAAGTGCACCTTATAGTCCTAAAAATACAGTACAATCTATTTAGTATTTACTAACTCTGCTTTGCTGTGGCTGCCATCTTAACCTGGTTAAAAGGACTTTACTGATGAATTATAACAGATTTCAATGATGAAAAGAAAACAATAAGAAACAAAGATGGGGCATTTCTATAGAGGGATAATGACATAAAATGAAGATGATTCAAAAAAGGAAAAAGACTGAACTGACAGAATGAAAATTGAAAACAGGGAAAACCGACAGGAGGAAGAGAATAATCTGACGCAGCAAGAGAAGAAGGAGGGGGCAAAGAAGATAAGAGAACGATGGATTAAACATACTGAAGATAAAAGAAGAGAGGAGAGATGTGATAAAAGTGAAGGACATGCAAAGGCACGATTAGGACGTGCAGGAAAAGACGAGAAGACAGGATGGGGGAAGGATCTAAAAGAAAGAGAGGCATAAAGATGAAGAGGAGGAGACACCCCCTCCTTTTCCCCAGAGATGAATTTTCTGCTGCATATGAAGCTGCTGTGACAACACTGCTGCCCCCCAGTTCTCCAGCTATTAAAATGTATGAATATTGATGCGAGCGGGAGGACGGGGCTCCTACGCAGCCTCAGTGTGTGCTTAACTGAACACGACCGGGTGTGTGTCTGTGTTACTTAACCATGTGTGTTTAATTAATCTGGGCTCGGTTAACATGCACACTAGAATCCAGACACAACCTTCATGTGTGTGCTGTTTTATCACCTCTTTGAGCAGGAAGGAGGAGGCGGCGAAGGCAAACGACCAGCCGTAGTGGTAAAAGAAGAACTGCTCAGGCTCTCTGGGTCGATTCATCACTTCGTCGTTGATGCTCGAAATGTATAAAACCAAACCCACCACCAGACTGAGACCTGAAGTGAAACAAAGACACAAACACACATAACACAGGTGATCTCTTTTACACGTTTTCATCAGCAAAAAAAAAAAAAAAGTTCCTAAATAATGTACAGACACTGTTGTTCCCTTGCCAAGAACTCAAATTATAAAGTACACTATGATATGCACTATACAAGGACTATGTTTGAACATAAATATGACACAGAATCTAAACAGTGAAGTGCAGATGAAGCGGTGTGCGTTTCACCATCACCATCATCATCAAGAACATTTTGAATACAGTAGTCCTTCGTTTATTGCAGGGAATATATACCCTGAAAACCAGTGATAAGTGAAAAACTGTGAAGTAGGAATAGTAGTATAAGCAGTAACTAGTAGTTATTTTTTATTACATATACATGCATACATAAATACATACAAGGTGTTTTAAACCTTTCCCACACTCTTGTTATATTCTAAACAGTGGTTTTCAACTCTAAAAGATCACAGAATGTCATGATTTCAGCTCCCTGCCTCCTCTGCTCTTTGCCACCTGCAAGCGCTCTTGGCCACGCCCACTTCTCCGCTCTGCAGGGAGAACAGCTGATCAGCTGCAGTAGGAAGTTTATCCTGCAGTATGGGCTGCAAAAATGTGCTAAATAGTTTAAAATAATTTAATTTACATCAAAATTTCACACCGATCGTGCAGCTCATCCATCAATCAGACAGTTGTGTGTCATGTCCAATATTATTTTGAAAAACCGTAATAGAGCGAGTCCGCAATAAACGAACGGCAAAGCAGGGAGAGACTACTGTATTTGTATTTGCTTGGTGTCACTTTTCTTTTGTGTTGAAGATCAGAGATAAAAACACAATAACTTACTCTGATCATGGGTGTTAGCAGAATAATTTATAGAACTCATAACCCCCACCTTCTGCAGTCTTTGTTATAATTTAATATAAATGTCCCTAGTTGTCGTCATGTGATCATTTCTAACTAAATATGTGCCTGAATCTTGACTGATCATCAAACCTGAAGTTTTCACAAAGTTTGTTTCCTTAAAAGTATTGTAAATCAACAATTTACAATTAAAGTTGCAGCTCTTTGATTACCTGCAGTTTGGAGAAATATTGATTAGTTCTGATTGATCCGATGAGTTAACATCTAGCCGGGCTCAGGGAAAAGTGGATTCCTGTCATCTTAAACATTTATAGCGGTCCACGTTAGCTCTGTTTTCTTAACCTTTTCACTGATTTTACTTTCATATTAAATTGTTATCATGACTCATTAAATGTTTTCTTCTATTAGAGTTAGATCACAAAAAAAAAATGGTATGCAGTTCCTCCAAATAATAT